GCTTGGAAGAGAGGGGCGGGGTCAGCAGAGCTCATTAACATTTAAAGGAAAATGCTACAAAATGCGTGCTCTGAAAAGAGCTGTTTTTGAAAGGGTAAAAGAGGTGTTTTTTACACTACCATTGAGACATTTTAACCAAACTATCTTAGACTTTTCATTAAGACCCTAAAGAATCAAATCAACTTGTGGAAAATGGGCATCCTATGACCCCTTTAATGTTTTTTTCAGTTGATTTTATCCAAGGCTGTGGCTAAAGTCAGATGTAGTTCTTGTGAGAATCATGACTTTTTTTTTTTTAAATAAAATAAAAACAGTGCACATTTCATTGATCTATTATAACATTTATGTAGTTTTGTTCGCTTGGATGTTTCCAGAAATGTGTCAAGTTTTTCCGTCAGGTGTTTTTTAATGTTATGATGTCATCACGTTGCTGTCGTGCCGCAGCCAATCGCTGATCGTGGTTTCCATACATCTGCCCTTTACGAGGAACACGAGAACACGCAGTAATCTTAGACAACTTCATCCAGATATTTTAATCAAATCCACACATTCGTTTGAAGAGCCAAATTAGCCAGAGATCAGTTATCAGGATTACTAGATCTGGCATCTTTCAGATCATCTCAGATGTGTTCAGCGAGGAACGAAGAACGGGCCCCAGATGTTAATCTCTGATCAACACAGCGATGTTTCATTAATGAATCCACGTTTTTAAATGAACCGAGTGAGTCAGTGATTCAGTGAACCATTAATAAAAGCAGTCACACGTTTCGTTTGAACGAATCGATTGAATGAATGACTGAATGACTCACTTATTAAGGCTTTTAGTTTTATATTTAGAGTATCATTTCTTTTTAAAAATCATTTCATATTTCAGTATTGTTTCACCGCCGGAGCAGATGTAGACAAGAATGACTCCTGAGCGATTGTGGTGTTCTGTTGCTGGATGTAATAATGAACATAGCAGTCGTCATTTACTCCCGACATCTGAGCCGCTGAAGACGCAGTGGATTACTTTTGTTTTTGAAGGGAATGCGCCCCCGATCTACATAAATGCGTCTATGTTCGCGCTAATCATTCGTGATCCAGCCTCATCTACAGAAGAAGTGAGTATAATGTTTTGTAATGAATCTTTGCAAATCGCCTTTCCTAATAATGTGCTATGGAAGAGAGGGGCGGGGTCAGCAGAGCTCATTAACATTTAAAGGGAAATGCTACAAAAACGGCTTGATCTGAAAAGAGCTGTTTTTGACAGGGTAAAAAGGTGTTTTTACACTACCATTGAGAAATTTTAACCAAACTATGTTACAGACTTTTCATTAAGACCCTAAAGAATCAAATCAACTTGTGGAAAATGGGCATCCTATGACCCCTTTAATGTTTTTTTCAGTTGATTTTATCCAAGGCTGTGGCTAAAGTCAGATGTAGTTCTTGTGAGAATCATGACTTT